ACACACACACACACACACACACACAAAAACACACACACACACACAAAAACACACACACAAAAACACACACAAAAACACACACACACACAAAACACACACAAAAACACACACAAAAACACACACACACACACAAAAACACACACAAAAACACACACACAAACACACACACAAACACACACACACACACACACACACACAAAACACACACAAAAACACACACAAAAACACACACAAAAACACACACACAAAAACACACACACACACACACACACACACACGTAAGATTCTGCTAACCCTCTCCTTTACAGATAAAGAATCTAATATTAGGAAGGACCTGAGGGCGACAGTAAAAGACTCATCATCATCATCATCATCATCACCTCAGAGGGGTCGTGGAGCCACTGACCGTCCACGAAGAACTTGTACTGATGTTCACCCTCAGGAAGATCCAGGATGGCCACGAAATCATTATGGCTGCAAAACAAACAAACAAACTGCAATCACTACTGGGGTCTCTGCAGAGAGTGTGTGTGTGTGTGTGTGTGTGTGTGTGTGCTGACCTCTTGTTGAGCGGGATCTTGCTGCTCCAGTTGTTGAAGGAGCCGGTGATGAACACCTCCCTGCCGCCGCCGGCCCAGCGAATCACAGTCGGCCGTGCTGGAGGAGGAGGAGAAAGAGGAGGAGCTTTGCACAGATCCTCCAGCCCCGGGGCCACGTCCTTATCCCCAGCAGCCTGCGCGCACACACACACACACACACACACACACACACACACACACACACACACAGAGCACTGTTGGGGCAGTCTGTCTGTCTGTCTGTCTGTCTGTCTGTCTGTGTGTGTGTGTGTGCATGTGTATCTGTATCTGTGTGTGTGTTGCACACCTTGGACTCCGGGCCGTGTGTGTTGAAGATGTTGGGGTCGTCTGTGCTGTCCATCATCCGGCTGGGCTCCAGATCTCGCTGCCCGCCGCTGTCTGAGCGCTGCGGCTTCACTCCCGCACACACACGCTCACTGGTGTTCCCCATGCTGGAGCCAGCAGCCTACACACACACACACACACACACACACACACACACACACACACACACACACACACACACACACACACACACACAAACTGAATAAATGAAAGCATAAACAGCTGAATAATTGGAAACTCTTATGTTGTTGATGATGATGATGATGATGATGATGATGATGATGAGCACACACTGATTAATGTGCTGTAGTTGTTAACTTCACATTTTTATCACACACCGAGTCTGGAACACCGCTGTACCACACACACACACACACACACACACACACACACACACACACACACACACACACACACACACACACACACACACACACACACACACAGTTCTGTGAGAGGCTGACTCTCTGTCCCTCTGTTAGTCTGAGGTGAAGGCTGTCTGATCTGCTATATTTAGACGCGCTTTCCACTGTTTACATGAGGAATGTGAGCTGTTTGCTAGCTCTTAGCATGATTATCTGCTGATGTGCGATCAAAAACCCTCTACACACACTCTACACAGTCCCCGCTGCATGTGTAACGCGTCTGCTAAGAAATAAACCGATAAATGGAGAATAATTACCGCAGATGAAGGAGAATCGGGGTTATTTGCGAGAACAGCTGATCTCCAACAACATACTGAAACCGGAGCGCTACGGCAAACCGGGAGGTACACAACACGTCTGATTACGAAACGCGCTGCGGCTCAACAGGACAGCCTCGTGTGCTGGCGGAGAATTACGCGCGAATATTAATAAATAGGAAGAGCTGAAGAATGACTTTGACTCCCAGTTACAACAGAATAACATGTTTTCCCTTTATATTGTAAAACCAAACTCTAAACACCACATACAAAAATATTAAATGAAATCCCAAACTGAAGAAGTGCGCTTAGTGAAAAAGGATGATTGATGGACAATAAGCATACCTGTAGAGGACAATTAAACACACATTTACTGTGTTCAGACTGCTCCTCTGACCCATATATACACAGAATTAACAGAGTTTACACTGAGAAATAACAGTAACGCGAGTTCAATACAGCGACTTGCCCGTGACGTGCACTGAGCTCTAACGTTAAACACTACAGAACTGCCACAAACTTCATTTAGAGTTAAAAACTAAACATAAATAGCACAATAATGTAAATATGTCTTCATGAAATGACTAACATGTGCATTACAGCAAGAGGAAATAACATAATCTCCGGATCGACTCTCTGTCCATCTCACTCAGTAATGATTCAAACCACACTGAACTGAGCTAAACTGAACTGAACTTAAACACTAAAAACTGAACCACCCTGATCCAGTTACTATGAGCATTTATGTGAAGCTGCTTTGACACAATCTACATTGTAAAAGCGCTATACAAATAAAGCTGAATTGAATAGAATAGGAACATTGTGAGAGGGGTTCTACAAAATCACAGGAAGTACAAAGAAGATATTCACAAATATGTTTAAAAAT